CAGTTCACGCTGTGTTTTATGGCATTTTATACAATATTTTTCACGTTTCTCTTCCAAGGTTTTTTTCACTTTGTGTTTTGCATGGCTCTCTATGCAGGGACAAAAACCCCACTTAACAGAGGAAAAATGCTCTTGCAATGCCACAAAAATAGGTTGGTGCAGGACCTGAAGTTATTTCAGCATTTTTTGTCAAAGTTTGCTAGATTTGAAGTAACTTGTTTGCTTTCTAAACGTTCACAACATTTCCACGAAGTTTCCCTCTGTGTCATCTCTCTATAAATATCAAATCAAACATATTTGGGAAGTCCATGAATTAAATTCCGCATCAGTGGGAAACCACAACAGCAGCTCAACCATTTTAGAAGGCTGCAGAAACAGCAAGTGTAAAACCTTGAACCAGAAATTTGGTAATCTGGTGAAATCTGGCCATCCAAGATCCTAACAGGCTTGAGGGCCATTCCAGTCAATTTTCTGACATTTTGCAACAATAATAAACCCCTTTCTTAAAGAATTTGGTGCAGAGCACCACCTACACTATTAAATACAGACAAAAGCCCAGCACATAGTGTTGAAAACTAATCAACTACGTGGGGTTTTGGCGGGTTTTTAAAATTATTATCTTTTGAACCATTTTTTCCCTCTCCCCCCACCCCAGGTTGACTGGTTTCCTAGTGACACAATCTCTATAAGTCAGACCAAGTGGAAAAGTCACTTAAAAAAGGAGTGGGGGGAGAAGTGGGGGGAAAAAACAAACAAACAAACTCAATCAAACAATGCCTTTTCCAGTATCTCACTCCATCACTTGGATGGAGCACCTTCACACAACTGGCCTGTGCAAACGTTTCACACATTTTCCTTCCCACTCAAGGTCTCTAAGCCCCAAAGTGGTTTAAGCCATCTGGAATGGTGTGGTTTCTCACTGCTGAGAGACCCTTTCTTAAAGGCTGTGTGTGCCTAACAGAACACCTACTTGCACAAGACCAAAGGTCGCGGCTTTTCATATCTTTCACAACTGTTGAAAACTATCATCTTGCCACCCACAGTCATAAAAAGGGGGTAAAAAAATCAGCTGCAAGACCATTCCATATCAGCCTTGCATTTAACTCAAGGTTTGATCAAATGCTTTCTGCTCTACTACTGTGATTACAACCTGTCTGGTGTGGAAGATGATAGGAGATAGTTCCCAATTCCAGTAGTTTAGCAATCTAGCACAACTTAGAACACAGTAAATAACAGAAAATATTAACACAAAGGACACACAGACACCTCAAAACACAGACAAGGAAAGATGTGGTCAACCTCCTCTGCAAACTACAGGAAGGACTGCTCCAAGCAAGAGATTATAGCCCACTGGGTTTTAGAACAAAGTTTTATTTAATCAAAGAGTTACCCAAATTTAAGATTTCTTTTGGAAAGAGTAACAAAACAGTATTTTGTAAGCTTTTGTTAGCTACCTAAGGCTTTAAAAAAATCTGAACTTTACTTTGAAGCAAACTTTACCCTTTACAATTTGCTCTTGTCCTTAAACCATGCAAGTAAACAAGCATAAACAATACCTTGCTACACCAAAAGCTGAAGCTTGAGTTTCCATGTGAATGATTTTCTTTTACTTACATTTACCAAGCCCATCCCTCCTCTTGACTAGTACTTCTTGGATAAACTCACTTCCCAGGACCCTGGTAATCTGAAGTGTCACCACTGATATGCACAGGTAAGGCTGACACGTTGTACAAACTGTATCAAGATCAATGTGTCAGATGGAGTATGAGAGTTGCACAGCATTTTCCAGCACAATTAAACACCAGTGAAAAGAATAAACTAACAGCTTGAAGGGCACTACGGGGTTTAAATAGACAGTGAAAGGCAACAGTGATGAAATATAGTCAGGGAAAAAGCATTGCTTCATTGTCTATGTTTCCAAGGTTAAAGGCCTCTTCAGAAAGGGACTTCCTATACAGAAAAAATTCTGATGAGAAGTTATGTACTGACAAAACAGAATACAAATTTAGTCCAAAAAGGAAATAGTGATGGCTAAGTATGGAAAGGAAGTTTTATATTTATGTTTACCCTAATGAAGCAGGGTTGTGAGCACAGGGAAGAGGGGGAGGGAATGACACACAGGGAAAATACCTCAGCTAAGTTTCAGATCATCTAAAGGGAGTACCAATAGTTCTAGCACTGACAAAAATTGACTGGCAGAACTATTTTAGTGATTTGGGCACTCAGCATAAGCATTTACAAGTTAGGAACTAATCCTAGAATAAGGCTCTATCCACCAAAATATTTAAGTTGGGGGACTCCTATCACAACTACCTCAACCACTGTCCCCATGGGAGCACACATTTCAGGAGTGCTTCAATTCAACACACTTATGTTTTGAAGTCACCAGCATTCAAAAATGTACAGGAAACTTTTGGAAGTTAAAGTAAACAATTTTAACGGCTTTCCCTATCCCACAGGTACTACATGTACCTCTGATGCATGGTTTGCACTATTATTAGAACAGATTTTCTCTTAATCTAAGTACTGCATAAATTCCTTTATTCCTAGAATCATTCCCAAGAGCAAGTTGTCAAAAAAGCTAACAGGGGAAAAAAAGACCCTGGATGCCCAAGGGCTATAAATGGATACCTTAACATAAAACTATTATGTTGTGTTACAGGTCAATTTAACAAAAGAAGTCCGCACACAGAATTAAGATTTCTTCTTTACATCAAAATTTCTACAAAATAGGAGAGAATACAATGCAATACACAAGTCCATAAATGCAAGATACAGTACAATTCACACTAATTTACAAATGGTTATTTACACTGTTGTATATACACGTACAGTCAGACCTGGTTAATGCAAATTTGGTATGTCCTTTTAAAATGCAAAACAAGCGTAAATGAAGGTATTTAAAATTATGTGATAGGAGACTAGGTACTGCTCAGAAATCTTTAGTGTTTGGGTGACCTATGAAATCAGGCCTGGATTAGCCAGATCTGACTGCAGAAATGAGAAGAAAAAAATTCACACTATTCTGCTTTACAAAAGCAACCAGGCCACTACGGTCTATTGACTTGATGCTATTTCTGCAAGAATGCCGTTACTAATAATCCTCTTTATATTTACAATATAGGCTTAACTACAGCAAGAATTATTAATTTTGGCATTCGTGCCCTTAGCTTAACATAAAGGCAACAGAGTATCTTCTTGGCAAGTCACAGTCAAAACTACTACAGGATGTTTCTAGAGCTCAGTCATTTTTTGTCCTCCTTCAAATATCTTAATGTTGCTATTACAGAGACTGAGATAAATTAATTGAAACAAGTACATGTTCTCTAGTACCTAACTTACATTCAGAATGTCCTGTATTCACAGTTTCAAGCTACCTTATCTGCAATGCCACTGCAAACTACTGCTTCAAACTTAATGCACCTGCAGATATTCCTCAGCGAGTGAGAATATCCAAGTGCTACTGGCTCAAATGGATGTGGAACAAGGCTCAAGGTAACTGGCATTTCCTCTTGGGAGATGTTTTACAGTATTTCCTCAGAACTGATGACAAATTGGTTTAATCTGCACTTGTCTTGAAGGAAAGCTGATGCAAAGCAGCGCTTAAGTGTGTAAAATTAATTTCAACGTGCAAAATTAAATCTTCTACCACGACTGCAAAGTCAACCACTGTAACCTGTGACAGTCCTTGTGCTTCTTCTAAGTGGCTCAGGAAAAGCTTGGAGTATTTACTACCTGCTTCAAAGTGCTTTTACGGGATTCAGTGGAACTTCACAAGGATGAGACTGAGCTGCACTCAGGAAAAGCTTTGGTTCTGCAGAAGCAAAACTTCCACTCCTACAGTTATTGCTACTTGAGCTATACAAACAAAAATACTACTGACGAAAACTACACTAACTCCAAATGCAAGTAGTACTGGTACCTGAAAAGGGAATGTGTCTTGCAGGCCATTGGGAAACTTGGGATCTGTCAAGTATTGGATTTCCCAAAACCAAATGAACTTCACTGCCTTCTTTCAAATATTTCACAAATACAAAGCAACACTGCCAGAAATAAAGCCACCACTTGGAAGGAAATAGAGTTCAGAAATCTTTATCAGTCTTACTCCCAAGCACATCTTGCTGAACTTAAAGGAAATACAAGAGAGTAGGGTATTATTCATCATATGTCAATAATGTCCACAGGGAGAAAGTACAGAAGATCAAGGTCTTCAGTGCCTTCATGAGCTCTAGCAACATCCTTGATAACTGCTACAAAGTAAATTATAGATGTCTATTTTAGTTATTTGTTTCAACTACAAAGAAAGTTTGTCCAGTATAGTAGCCTCCAGCTAATGAAAATGGTTACCTCATTTCAAGTTACAAAAAAATCCCAGTTCTCCCATTTGTATAAGAATTTTTAAGGTTTTGACTGAAGAAAATAAAATAAAAAAAAAAAAAAAAAAAAAAAAAAAAAAAAAAAAAAAAAAAAAAAAAAAAAAAAAAAAAAAAAAAAAAAAAAAAAAAAAAAAAAACAGAAACATTCAGAGATGAATATAAACAGGAGGAAAAAAAATCCTAAACCGTGCTTTTGTAAAAGAACAGAATGCCATTCGAAATGGTCTTTAAAAGGTGAAAATTTTTCATTCACATGAATTTTCTTTGTCCTGAATCAATCCAAGCTTTTGTAAAGCACATATGTATATACGTGTGTACACATGAGACACACATACACACACAGCAGTGTGCCATAAAGCAACTTTGAATAAATATCTTTGCTGGAGCCTGTACAACAGACTTCCCCATAATATTTACTCTTCAGGTAAGTTTGTGTTTGCACGTGTACTTGCACACACACAGACTTTGTACATGTGGGCACTTATGTGACCAAAGTGCAAAGTTTTTCAGAGTATCATCAGAGTAGAGTACGTGCCTGCCCAGCTCCACACTGCACTGGTGAGCTGGATTTTCCTGTTGTGGGTTTTTTCCCCCCCTCTCGTGTCCCCCCCACCCCACCCCCCTTTCAGAGTTAAAGCCTCTTTTCCACACAAACTTATACATTGTCCCATTAAGTAAACATTGTCTTTTCAATTCACATTTTGTAATCCAGACCATTCTTGGTATAATAGCTTTAAGAAATAAGAAAGTGTGTGTGATGATCAAAGCCCAGTTGCTCAAGTCATACACTTTTCCATACTGTCCTTCAGACTGGAGACTTCGAAAAGCAATTTGCTGACAGAAAAAAAAAAAAAAAAAAAGAACCACCAGACACACCAGAATCTGCACAGCTACAGGACCAGGCATTTAAGACTTAGAATCCAAGGTTAGAAGATGACAAAGCAGAAAGATGTCAACAACACATGAACTGTAAACCTGTGTCTTGCTCCCCAGTGCAACAGGATCTCTGCTCACTCGTCTCCAGTTCAACATCTGTTCCACTAGATCCTACTGAAGCACATCAAATACAGACACCAGAATAGTGTTCAAATTTAGAATCAAGTTTCAAAAAGGAATATAGATTTGGAACAGTGGTCTTTTGTTTTCAAGAGTACACTTAATAAAAAAGCAGCTTTCGCACAGGAGTTACAGATGGTACATGCCCTCAGAGAGCCTTATGGCCACAGAACTTTCACATTTCTACAGCTTAACACATCAAGAAAAAAAAATCAAAACTTCAATTATCATTTCAGCAAGCCGGTTGATTCTTGTGCAAAAAAAAAAAAAAAAAGAAAAGAAAAGAAAAGTACCATCATATGGAAAGCTACCATTTTCTTTAAAAAAAAAAGGGGAAAAATAAAAAGACAATCCTAATCCTTCTCCCTAGTTACACTGGAGATCTCACAAGTCTATTGTCACTCATTTTGCTCGTACACATCTTAGAGGGTAATATTCTCTGACAAGTCTTCTTCAGCATAAGTTAATGCAACTTCAATAAAATAAGTTGTTAAATGAATCCTTTGGAACAACTTCACTGTCTGCACCCAACTTTAACAAAAACTGATGAAAGCAGCAATGGAATCATGTTAAACTTATAATAAATAATTCACATACAACATATGTTAAATTACAAAGAAGGATTAAATTGCCATTTCTACAACTTTTTATAGATTTAGCAAGTTTCTAATCCGTTTTATATCAACAGCAGTATGTATGCTCTTCATATTAAATTTAACATTGAAGGACTGTTTAGAGGCATTATTTATAAAGCAAGAACCACCAAGTGAGCATTACAGCACTTCAACAAATGTTTAGCTTTTTTCCAGTATCTGTTCTCAGAAAAGATCCAGGGGTTGTCCATCCACTTGGTAAGTGTCCTCCTCTTCGTTACTCAGGAAGAGTTAACGTCATGACCTCCAGTTTCATTTTGAAATACTGGTTAAACCGAACAATTGCATACCTTTTGAAAGGGAGAGAGAGAGAGTGCCTAAGTTAAGAGCAGGTAACTCCTTACATGAAAACAGCCATGCTAAGGAGGGCTGGTCAAAAGACCACCAACCCCAGGACCCTGTTTCCAACACTGACCCTTAGCAGCTGCCAAAGGAAGAACTTCACAACAGCACATGGATGTTCCGGTACTTCCTCACCCCACTCCCAGCTTGCAAAACAGATGCTGTTCTGGTATTATCAAAAGGTAGTGGCTGTGGTTTGAGTTGTTCTTAATGGACTGTCCAACTACATTCCCACAGAAATGTCATCTCGACTATTACAAGAATGGCATTTTATTCAAAGCTGACAAGTTTCGGGGTTCTATGACCCGTGTTTTCTGAGTTTGTCGCGCCATCTCGTGGTGACTCACGGGTACTGCTGCAGTAGATAATCAGTCACAGGAACCCAGAGTGGTCTCATTGACAAAATGACACAATTAAGCCCAGCAAACCGGCTTAGTCAGGGCAAAAAAATTCCAAAGTGGGATCTTTTACCAGGAAAAAATTACTACTTTTATCACCTCACACAGGTCCCACTGGAGAAGTGAATTCCTCTGCTTGTTGCCATAAAAGATCATTTAAAAAATGCCAAAGACACATCTATCCACCTGAAACAGAACAACCCTGGCCAGCACCTCAGGAAACAGGGCTTAACATTCATCAGTGTTACAAAAACTCTTGAAAAAAAGTAGGGGTTTCCAGGATCAACACTCCATGCAATCAATACAAAAGAGCTCGTTTACTACAAGAATCCCATTTCTTTGACTCCTGCAGTTGAAAATGTAGGTCTTGGATCTGACAGAGAGCACACCTCACTGACCCACTTGGCCTTTAAGCCTTTGTCTCTTTAATAAAAAAGAGCACTCAATGTCCCAAAACATTATGTTCCTTGCCTTTTTATACCATGAGTTTTATTCCAGGGGCACATACTAATTAGAGAACTTTCAGCAACAAAAAGCACAGACAGCTTTTACTATCCTGTTTTTCTCTGAAGGATGTTATTGTATGACCACATAGATCAGATCTGTCTCTCAGGTCTCAGTTTCTGATAGCTGGGGTGTTGGAGTAGATGGCCTTACAGATCCCTTCCAGCCCCCAGTATTTCATGTTCATACATAGCAAGCACACTTACCCTAGAAAATCGAAGTCAATGGTGGAATATTTGGCTTGAATTAGAGCCCACAATCCCCAAAAGAAGTGGGAAGCCTGAAAGGAAAAAAATTTATCAGTGAAAAATTAACCTCATTTCCAATCTAACATGCAGACATATTCTTACATTGAGACAGAAAGTTATCTACAAAAGAGCACTCAAAACACAAACTTTTTGTAAAGTTATTTGATATCTCTTTACCAAACAGATTGGTAAGCAGTATTTTAGAATAAACTACTGGCAATCCGAGTTACAAGTAAACCTATTGGACTCCTAACTCTCCATGTGTCATTTTCAAGAAAAATAACATTGCATTTATAAAATAGGTCACCTATTAAGCAGATTGTTGTACAACTATATAAACCATACCTTAAAAATGCACAGGAATTCAACTGTCTTATCTACTATCTAATTAAGTATATATTATTCCACAGTTATTCATATCTAGTACAAATATGAAATTCCTTTTGAATCTTTGAATACAGCCTTGGATCTCTATACCTACACACACTTTCACTGCTGACTTGGACAAAGATGATATGCAGTGCTGTACAAAAACCTTTAACTCCTCAGCCTTTACACAAACTTTTCATTTGTTCCAAACTTATTTCCGTGTTCACTTCCAGACTGAAACCATTACTTGATTTGATCATTAATATACCCCAAATCAACATGTAATGGTCACGACAGTCTCCTTGTGGAAGATGTCTCTGGACCACCCAGGTTACAAGCTACAGACTTCAAACTTCAGTGAATAACTGCTTACAGTAATTAACTAAATGGCTTCCCAAAGATTGCATGTAACACTTGACCAGGAGTTTAGAAGGCACAAAAATGCACATGCACCCAAAAGCATCTTAACACGGTAACTAATATATGTCCACGTGAATCTTGTATCTCTAGTTTAGATAACTTTGCCAGAGTAGCAGTTCAGCATTGTACATCAGCATCCATTAACTTTAGGTCATGTTTTCTCTTAACAAAGCTTCCCACACGAACTGACACAAGTGTCACACAGTATTTGAGCATCATGTGTGGTCTATAGGCAAGCCTTGAGTTGTTCTCTAAACACAACTCTATCCTCTTAAACTTTACTGTGACCATCATTTAAAACTGACAAAACAACGCTATATATTTTAAAACAGACCACCAGCTTACTTAACTGCAGCTCTAACTTTCCCAAATAAATGGGACAGCTGAGTTTAACAGTAACAGCTGACATTTTAAAAGAATTGCACCAAACAAGCTGCTATTTTCAAAGACTTGTTTAATAATCATTTCCTTGTGAATTGTATTTCCTCACTGTAACCATTAGCTTTTGCCAGAAAACAGAATATTACAGTAACAGAAGTGTGTTTGGATCAGTAGGAAAGAGAACTAAAATAAGGCTAGAGTGGCTTCTTTAAAGTCCTCCTACAAATAGTTTGCCATGTTATTCTTGAAGAGAAAACAAAATAGAGGCAACTTTTGTTGTAACATTTCCAATCACATCTTCTAGGCAAAACAAGATCAGGGCTAGTTGAAAAACAAAAATGATGTGAACCTCTGAAATATCTGTTAAGAAATCTCACAAAGACAAAGCTTAGAAAAAGAGAAAGACAACTTCAAACTGCTTCTAACAGTATATATCCTCATGACATTCAAAGATTTAATTCCACACCTATGTGACTTGACTTGTTCTACTTCCATGAATTACATTTGATGTGGTTTGTTTTCCTGAAGGACAGGGCACCAAAGTCAGGTCAAAATTGAACAGGCTCCATCCTTTCAAAGGGAAAGAACAAGAGACTGAAGCTGTTACATCCAAAGTCTGCAAAAGACAGACTGACAGAGAGGAAACAGCTTATAATGCAGAGATACTGGAGGAGCAGGAAGCAGACTCATACAGACAGCCCTCTCTCTAGAACTTCTGAGGAACCAGGAGACTGACTCCATGTGCACTTTGCTACAATTTAAACCGCTAAAGGTGATAAAAAACAAATCTGAAAGCAACTCCCTTCTTGCCAAGACACTCAGGTAAGGAAAGTTAAATCAGTACAGAAAGATTCTGGAGTGACCTAATTATCTGCAACAAATAAACAAAAAATCAAAATACCCTGGTTTTACTCTAACAGAATTTTATCATCTTATTTTAAAAAGGCTTTTAAAGTTTGCCTTTATGAACTTGCTCTTCTGTCTTCTTACCACTACAAACAAAAGTTCAATACAGACCCACCATAAGCTCTGGCCAACTCAAACTTGCCAAACCAATACACAGTCAACAGAAATACTCACTAAAAGCTCATCTCCTCCTTTTCTGAATGCCCAGTGCTTCTTTCACTGGGAATATTCTACAGACAATTTTTAAACAGCAAGTGGAAGGAAATTCTACTTCTAACAGAAGCTTTTCTTTATGTGCCACAGCGCTCAGATTAAGAAACTTGGAATTACATTTGTCCATCGTGTGCCTAATCAAGTGTTTGGTTACTTACCAGTGCAAACTGATTGACTTGGACATACAGAACTTCAACTTCTTTTTCACTGACTTCTGTGCCAAATCCTTTATATTCTTTGTAGGCCTCAAGGTAAGATCTCAGCCACTGTTCCTGTAATTTTCTGTTAGGATAAAGGCTGTAGTCTACCTCATTTACTCCTAGAAAAGAAAAAAATACCTATTAGAACCTTCTTTAGCCTAAAAAGACCATTAGAAGCCCTAAGTACCTATCATTCTTTCTTGTGCACCTGTCTTTCTTGTGCCCAGCTGTGTGCACTCAGACATTCCAGGGTAAGGCTGTGATTTTTACAATATGAGATTCCCCTAAATATTCATTCAAGAAAGCTCTTAAATAATTAGAGCTTACAATTCTCTATGTTTAAAAGTCCATTACTAGACTACTTCCCCCTTCCCATCCCAACACAAAGGTACAAATTGCTGTAGACAAACATCAGCATTTTTACTTTGACCTGACTTTATCAGTTACGTGTTGTCAAGAATTTCCCCACACACAAATCAGAGCGTTCAACATCTGATTTATGTTTTCAGCCACCTCGAGTCTACTTGTAGGCTGAGATTCAACAACTTGGGCTTTGAGAGAAGCTTCAAGAAAAAGTATTTGCAGTATGAAACAAAAGCTCTCAAATATATCAAATATTACATATTTTGTAGGAAAAGGCACTTGTGTGCAACAACATCCCAAGCTGAGTCCAGATGCATATCCAGTTGTCACTAACTAAGCTCATGTCTGAAGAAAATTTACTACAAATCTGTCTCTCTCCTCCTCAGGGTTTGGTGGAATTAGAAGTCTTATCTCTATAACCCCTTTTTATCCTGTTTTTCTTCCTATACTGGCGATGCTTAGTCACAGGCCATAGGGAATCTGGCAGGAGCCCCAGACCTGGATCACAGCTCACTCCCCAGGGATTTGGGAATTCTCCTCAAGTCTTATACTATGAACAGTGCAATCCCCTTGCACCTAAACTCTTTTGTGTGTCAGATCTACTCAAATTTACCTTCAAAACATAATTAAGATTTTTACTGGATGGAGAGTAAAAGTGAAGCACAACCATTCTTCATAGGTAAAAAAAAAAAATATATCTGTGCATTTAGTCTTCTTACCAATGTAAGACTTGGAGAAGCACAAGACAAAAATCAAATGCTCCCAATTATACTTTGTAAAAGAATTTAACTTGCTTTCCAAATGTTTAAATTACCAATTATACAACTTACGTTCCCAAGTACACATCTCGATTTTTTTTTAAGTTATCTAAACTTCACATTGTGAAACGACTGGTAGATTAATGCTCCTGTTTTCACCACAGTGTGCTTTCCATCTGCACTAATCATTATGCAAGTTTTCACTGCTGTCCCATGCTCTGAAACACCACAGCACACACTTGAGGTTATTTCTCCCTTATGGAGTAAATGGAATGGGCATTCACTGAGAAAATTTGAACTAGATAATAAATGAGTCTACAAACACCTTATTCCTTTATTCCTGAAATCCCAACTTTTTCCTATGACAGTCTTACCTTTACCTCTCATTTTAGGACAGGGCAAGTACTTAGCACACCCATTCAAACCAACAAAAAAACCAGACAAGCCTGCTTTTTGGCACTGTGGAACCACACAGAGTATTCTCAATATATACCTACAGTGTGACATCCACAGTATTTCATTACAGTTGGCTGCTGTGTCACTTCACAGAAGGCCCCTGGGAAAGCTGTGGGTTCTGTATTTATCTAATTCTACCAGCACACAGGACATGACACTGCCATTTCTGGCTTTGCAGAGCTGCAAAGTAAAGGCATAACTGGCCTGCAAAATGAGACAACATATTCTGATACCGTGAGCTGACAGCTGTAAACATCCATTTAGATAAACAGACAAAGAGAATGTGCAAGAATGAGGTAGTTGGGGTTTTTTTTATTCATAAAACCAGTCAAACTTCACCTCAGAAATCCAGCTCTTACCTGCAAATTCATTGAAGTGATTTCCAATGTCATAAGCCAGGTAGTTGTATCCAGAGTACTCATAGTCTATGAACTGCACATCACCTATGTGAGAGACAACAGCAACAACATCAGAGTTCAGATCAAGTGAAGTCACAGCCCTAATCCTTTGGTGTCCTTTGAAGATTTCAGGGAAAAACAAAACCAAACCAAACCATGCACTCGTCTTTCTTGTGCCCAGTTGTGTGCACTCAGACATTCCAGGGTAAGGCTGTGATTTTTACAATATGAGATTCCCCTAAATATTCATTCAAAAAAGCTCTTAAATAATTAGAGCTTAAAATTCTCTCTGTTTAAAATCTGAGCTTAAAATCTGAATAGGAGAATTTCAATTTTAACTTCTACCACATGAGGGCACCCCTTACCCTCAAAATAAGGAGTAGCACATTCTTTATTTAAATTTTATGTAGAAATAGCAGATCAATTTTTCCCTGACTTAAAAAAAAAAAAAAAAAACCAACAGTTTTGCTCATTCTCACACAAATGTGAAACCATAGTGTACTAACACGTGGCAACAATGGTGATATTTCCTCTAACACATTGATATTTCCTGCTTCCTCTAACCACACTTACAAAGGAAGACTATTCTTAACTCTTCCTTTTTTTATCTGGCTTAAACTGGTCTCAAGAAACTGTCAGACAGTCCTCAAAACTATCAAACTACATAGTATTATGTAAACAAGGTCTGACAAAACAGCAAAACACAGCCCCCAATGTTTCCAAATTACTTTTACCTGTAGTGTAACCCAGGAAAATGCTTCACTTAATTTCTACAGCACATAAAAGCCAAAATACTAGCAAGATAGAATAAGTAAAACTAGAGCTCTTGTATTTTAATGGAAACCAGCAAAATGACTAAAAACATCAGAAAAGGAAGCAACTGGTAAACATAAGAACTTTGCACTAGAACATTAAAAACTCAAGTCTTGCATTTCTCAACTACTATGCTGAATAGGTAATTTTCACCCTTCTCCCTCTCTATACCCATTCTTTTGATGACTATCTGCAAATTTAATTAATAAAAACATTCCTTTATTACAAAGAGCAATCTTCTTAACATGACTTAAAACATCTTACAGATACCAATGCTGTCAGAACTCCAGGTAAAAAACAAAAAATCACGAACAGTGTTAAAATTAAGTACATTACATACATAGATTTCCTACACTAAGGATTTTAAGTGCCTAAAATACTGCCTCCTTAAGATTTAGGAATATCATACATCACCAATACCCTGACCAAATTAGCACAGAAGAACTTTGTTAAAAGGGTTCCTTCATATGCAGTTCGGCTTTACCGTATTTGAAATATTAACACATTAATGTTTTCCAGACGGACAAATACTTACAATACCGCCACAAATGAACTTCTGCCACTGCCTGACTGGCAAATTCATACATTTATTTGCTCTTCCCACCAGTTCTTTATTGCTGCTTTTCAAAAGACACACCTCTAAGTTACAAGCCAGTCAAAATACACAGCCCAACCCTGGTTAATATTCTGCTACACAACTGATCTCCTGAACCCCCAAAACATTTCATATTGTCTGTATTTATAGAGGGTTTTTACTTCCTTCTTGACATAAAATTCCAACACAGCAGGTAAAAGTCTGCTTGGAAAACATGGATGTAAATACTTTAAAATTTTTTCATGTGCAGATTACACCTAGAACATACCCATGTGCTACGATGGATTTTTAATTAAATCCATGGTTAGTTAAAGTTAACATTTAAAAAACTCACTTCCAGATATAAAGAACATATCATACAACCAGAAATTTAATCTAGCAAGATAAAGCTGAAGCTGTTACTAGGCACGTGTCCTATGAGGAAGTGAATGTGAACAATGAGATAAACTTTCAGTCAGTGCAACATAGCACGGTGCACGGCACCACAAGGCAGCAACAATGGCATACCCAGTCTGAAGCAGATGAAGAAAATTTGGCAAACTCACATTTGATAAGACAAAAGTTCAAAGTGAAAAAGTCTCGTATTTATACTGATCCCTTTCAGACTCATGCTACTGTGGAACTCAACCTTAAAGTTAATTTTTGCACGAAGGCTCAAAATAAAGATGCACAGTTCCTTCTGTGAAACTGAAAGAAAGCAAAAGCTTTTAAATTGGCTGCTTCATAAATGCACAAGGCATACAATGTACCAGCTACCTTGTTTTAGAAGAAACAGAAGAAAGTTCTCATTGTTTAAATAACCTTAATACTAGAAGTTACTTTTAAGATTTACTGCAGCTCATATGAGAAAGCCACTTCTCAAAAATACAGTTTACTTTAATGGTTTAGCAGGTAGCTTTTATCCTGAGGTTTCTAATAAGTACCAAGAATTTGTGCATCCCATTGATATCCCTGGGAGCAGGCAGACCAACAAGAGGCATGATTTAGACATGATTTAAAAATAAGCTCCACCATCTCTCTGGAGAAGCTACTGTTATCAACAGGAATAGATACACCAAGAGTGTTGAATACTGCAAGTTGAAACACGTTCCTTTCTTCCAGGGATCTCCTAGTGCAGACAACATGCAATGAACTCTACAAAAACCACAGACAAGATACAAAATGGAACATATGTTATGTTCTATATCCCAGAAACCAAATTTTAAATAGATCAAGTGGTAATCAACAGATAGATCTCCTCAAGGTACTGACAGGTAGGAGCGTGATGACACCTCTCTTTCTAGTTGCTCTTCCCTTTTAACGGTCTAATAAGGGTAAGCACTTCCAGGGTGCAAGTCCTGGCTGTAGTTACCACAGCTGGATGATGTATCCCGAGTTCCATCCCATCCTGCTCATCAGGTGAGCCAGAGCCCCTAAAAGACAGCTTCAAAAACAATGATCTGTGCTACAAACATACTTGACAATTCGTAAACGGGTCATATACCCAAAAAGAATAATTTTAGCTATAAATACCCCGTAGAGCTCTGCAAAGCAAAACAAGTTTTTAGATCAAAACTAGAAGCCTTAAACGTACCTCAGTCTTCAGAAGCACTGAGCACCCACAGACTCCTACCAAAGATCATAGAAAACATTGGGTAGGCAGAGGGAATAAACAGAACAAAACCAGCCATCTACCCACACACTTAACTTCCTGCCAGGTGATTTTCATATAATCAAAAAGAGCACATACAGATACAGACAAAAGAATTCTGATACATGGTCTTGTTGAATAGCAAGTATTTGAATACTCTTAAAACATCAAGTATTTTTCGAAACTCCCAAGTTACTTTAAAAAAAATAAAATAAAAAAATAAAAAAAATTCAGGAGCATCAGAACACAAGGTCTATAAATAAGCACTACGAAGCATCAAGACTATTTTTAGTATTCTTGATGTCAAAATTGTAATTAAAAGCAATGTGAAGCTCCAAGCTATATCCTTCAAAGAGTAGACGACAGTGATAATTATAAGTTATGTAAAGTAACACTTGCAGACTTTCATATCCTGAGTGACTGAGAACGGACATTAACAAAACAGCAAGAGGCAGGATTCTCTCAGCCACAGCAGGAACAAATTCAAATCAGATGAGTGAAACTCCATTAAATGAAGTTAGCACTCAACATGCTATTCCAGTCTCATAAATAAAATGTAAGGACAGGAGACTGATTCCTCTTAAACGCAGTATGTGGCACAACTGATTTTTCTTTCAAGTCAGAAAACTTAAGGTGAAGTTAATGCAGAGGACAAGCCTAAAGCAAAGCCCTGGGACAAGCCATATTCTTTGTAGCTGCATTAGACATGAGTCCTAATATCTGTTGATAGTCTGTAGCTTAAACACATACACATCCCCCATGATGGGCGAATTAAGCATTCACAAACAAAATGATAAATGCAGCGTTGCTAAAACAAATAGTTTTTGTTCATGCCAGCTTCTGAAAAGCCAGACAATGCTACCAGCTTTGCATAAATTTTACTGAGGAGTAAAGAAAAAGTAGTTAATACAGAAGTTCAGTTCTCTCTCTTATTTCCAGCTTAGGGTCACCAAGGTCTTTTGGGTTCACGGAAGCCTTTCTAGATGGAAGAGTAAATTAATCAGAGTACAGCATCAGCAAAGCTGTTAACTACTTTCATACAGTTTGATGCCATTTATAGTGAAGCACATCTTTAATGATTCTATTTTGTGCTCTTGCAAAATTATTTGGATACCAATAAAAGGTTTTGCTCTGGTAAACAGAATTCAAGCAACCCAATACATATTTCTTTGCAGTTAAAACTCAGCTTCCACTTTCTGCTCTGTAAAAAGTGCACTATATGAAATAGCTTTCAAATGACATTCTTTCTACAGATGGCACTGAGGTTTGGTTAATATGAAAATGGTACCTGCTGTACCCAGATTGCACAAGTTTTACAACAGTACATGTGCAACATTCAAACGTAAGTTTAAAAATATATTTATTTCATATTTCCAAGTCTTCCCCCCACAGCTGTTTACAGCTTGCTTGAAGCCAAAGCAGTTTACATGCCTCCCTCCTCCCCACCTTGTCCCCAAACTCTAAACACTCACACACTTGTTACTGTAGGATTGCTCACAAGTGAGGCACTGCTGGCATTGTTTTTTCCTCCATTCTGTTTACAAAAAGAAAAGCATATAGCATTTGTTTTTCAATTAGGAATTTAAAGCCTATTGACCACGATAGCAAACCTTTTAAAGGAATTCCTCGGATTTTTCTCTCTTTTGTTGTGTGGTTCTGCTACAAAAAGCAACTATAAAAATTACTTTTACCTCAACAAGTCTGTTCTGGAATGTTACAACTCAAGGTAGTTTCAGCGATAAAATAGCCCACACAGTAAAAATAGATTTATTTTTGGTACTACAGCATCACAACAATGTATGTAAGATCACAAGTCAAATTTTTTTGGACACCTCCCATGCTTTTCTCTATCCTCTTTTTAAGCAGAGCTATAACCTATCATTGAAACTAAGTAAAATCACTGAAGCTTGGTCCTGAATTCTTAGAATTTAAAATTTATGTTAATAGCATTGTAAATGTATATATGTATATATATGTGTATACCAGTATAACTAAAAGTACTAGCAACCCCCTTCAAAAGTGGCATTACTCAGAGGGAAACTTGTATACAAATCACCTGAGGAATTCATTTCCTCCATTCACATGCACCCAATGCATATGATGCAGAAATGTGTTAAAAATACTTGGCCAGTTTTCATACTAGAACATTTTCATACTAGAACCAACTCCAGCTTGTTTTTATTAGTTTTTCTTTAGAACTTAAGGCAGATAAGTTTGATAGGTCAAAGACCAATAATAACTGATGGAGAAGGCTTCAGTTCCTTTCAGTTATTCACCTCAACGCTCTGGGCTTACATACCAACAATCTTACCCAATAACACAAACAAATACACAGCTACTAGAAGGAATATGTCACTCTCACTTCAAAAGAAAACATAATCTGATTAGTTGGTTGCCCTCAGCCAAGCTCAGCCATTCGAAAAGGGAGGAAAATTGTGCACTTTTACTGCACAATGGCCATTTCAGTGTGACAAGTTTGCCTTGTTTGTTTTAATATCTAATTGATTCACCTAGTAACTGAACCTCAAACCACTAAAATCAATAAACTGTGGGTTTAAAACAGAAGCTTTATACATTTTAATAACACGAATTATGAGTTAAATGTATTATAAGAGAACCAAAAAAGTAATTTATCTCTGCCAAGACGTGTACTGCCTACAACTGTTTAAATAAAGTATGTACTTATGAGAGAAATTTAAGATGTGTATGTACCTACTGCAGAAAATAAATTGAGCTACTGAATGTAATATTAAATCTCACTAATATACTGCATTATGAAAGGGTATTCCCACAATCACAAACTGGAACAAAATACATATTACAGGAGACAATCTTCATGTTATTTTCTATACTTGCATGATTTTCTTTTCTTCCAAAAAGCCTTATACAACCAGAGCAGAATTAAGATCAACAGTTACATATTTTGAAGCCTAGTCATACAGACAAGCTGGGGATTAACAAATTCATTAGTTTATTAAAGAAAAGCAAAAAAACACTGACTTTCTTCCTCTGTACAGTAATATACAGATCAGAATTAGACTAATTAAGCAACTTAAGTCTTTGCAGAGGTATCACTACCATTGCACTGGGTCTTAAAAGCTCAAACTGAGTTCACTTGAACAGGTCAGTAAAAAAACACCACTGATGCAGCTCATATAATTACAACACAAAGCCAACTCATTACTCACTGTTTAGTTCAAGTCCTACCTCGTTTCTTGTTGTAAATAATATTCTTACACAACAGGTCATTGTGACAGAGTACCACTGGTGATCCTAAATTTGAGAGTCTTTCCTTCATCCAGGCCATCTCTTCCTGAAGAACTTGAGGACTTGGAATGTCACTTAAAAACCTTTTTATGTATAAGAAGATTGAGAGTTAATACTTAGTACTGTGTGTTCCATATCAAGCATCAAGCATTCTTCTTGTAAATAATGCAATGGACCCTCTCCCAAATCAGGGCAATCATTGCCTTAGCAGTCAAATTATGACAATTATTTCCCTCTGTCCTCCCCAGAAAAAAAATTCTATGGAGATTATCTGTGCTGTAAACATGATAGCAGTCCAAAAATCAGGAGCAAAACTTGAATACAGTCCTGCACATTTTAAAGGAGCAAAGATTAAGTGTGTTATTGCAGGAGTTTCATTCACTTTTTGCTTATGTTACATTACTTCCTCCAAGAGGAATATACAACAGTAAGTACTAGGTACTATATATCTATATAGAGAAAATTAACATCAATTTTTAGTCTAGTCTCAGTAAATATACTTAAGTAGCAATTTTATCTTTTAGATTTTCCATTAACTCCTCATGTTTTCCCAGTTTTCTTAAGAACTTTTTGTTGTAAAAGAAAAGCAAATTTGCTAAAGCATTCTTTAATTACAATGCAGCAAGAAGGGCAGCTGGTATCACTGATTTCAAAGTTACATGAAGAATGTTTTTAAGTTGGAATCTGCTTTATGAGTGATATGAAGTTCGACAGTGTGCAAACACTTTCAAATTAGTTTTAGCTTAAAAGTTGGATCTCCACTCTCTGAGAAACATTGCCTTCAGCCCAAGCTTTAGATTACAGCAAGAAATTTTATTTAGGTTAAACATTGCTCCTGGTTTAGCCATTCCTCTCATCCCAATCTCCCAGTGACTGACAGTAGAACCCTTTGGAAATATTTTCCCTTTTTGTGAAGCTCCCAACACCCACAGTTTGATTTGCAACTCAACAACTATATTGAGATGCTAAAACTAAAACGTAATTAAACCCTTAGACCCAAGTTATACAACCGTTCATAGTCCATGACAGTGAAAGTCTCGAGTGACTTGTGGATACCTTTTCCTCCACTGGAAAACACTTTGGGAGATCATCCTATCACCCAAACTAACCTTAAACTAGTTTTAGTGTTATGTCACCCAATTTTTTAACAGATTTATAAGCTGTTAAAACATACAAAACAGATAAGAGATGGGGGTTAAAATGGACAAGCAGCAGTACTCCTGCAACTCCAGGAAACAGGTTTTTAGTATTCATTCCAGAACACAGGTCTCAGTTTGAGACTGATGGTTCTCTTAAAGACTGTTGAGAAAAAACTACCTGAAGTAGGTAAGTTGATGTTGGTTCTTTAAAAAGAGCAAAGGAAACTACCACTATTCAAGTATACAATCAGATGAAGAGTTATATGTATATAAACACAATGTACCAAATTAGTTAAAAACCTCTATCATATTTGACACATATTACAGCTACTTCAATATACAAGATGCAACAAAACACAGAATTTTACAAAGTTAAACCTTTTTCTTAAATATTCCTCTACCCCTTAACCAGAAGGATTGAAAAGTCAGGAAAGAACATAGTGAAATACCCACCTTTTATTTACTTCCTCATCTGCAAATTCTGTGGGTATGAGAGAGAAGTATTTCCCCATCTTCAGCCATAGATTAGATTTAGGGATCCACCCATTGTGTGCATGAATAGTATGGATTTTAGCAAGTTGTCTAGCAATGAGTCTGAAAAACAGAAGTTAAATTAATGTTACAGTCAATGTATACCTGACAGACTATCATATTTTTCCCAACAATACAACAACAATATTTAATTGAAAAATTCTAAAAAATGCAGCACAGGAATTCAAAAACAGTGTCAATAAGAGCAACAAAGCCATAGGGGAGCATCTTTCTAGATTCAAAAGGTCATTAGCAACACTACCTGTGGGAGGGGAAGGACTGGAATTCCATTACAACACACATACTTCTGTATTTACAATCTACTCTTACTTACCTTTAGAAGAATTGATTCAAATTAGCTGCCCTTGTTAGGCAAGTACATTTCAGTGCACACAGGAAAAACTAAAACCTTAAGACATTGGCACTTTCTGTTCACTGCTAATAGCTTAAAAAATTATGTCCCAATGGAAGACTCTTGGATCTATTCACAAAAGGAATGTATTGGAAACAGAGCTGAAAGTACTTGCCTTAACAAAGTCCAGCCCCCTAAAACTCCACCATGTTAAATGATCTCTAATGGTAATGAACATTTTAAATACTCACAATAAACATCTCTAATGAGTACACAGTGTTCTGTGGAGGCAGCAAGGATCTCTTGTTCAGCACTGAAATACTATAACTAAGAGTACAGTGAGCTGTCAGGAGTGTGAACACCGACTCAGTGCAGGCTTATAGAAATATTTATTTTTTGCCTGCTCATAAACTGTGCTTGAGATGCTTTGGGCCTGACGGAACTCCGTAAACACATCGAAATTCTGAAATTTAAAAAAAAAAAATAATAATTTAAAAAGCTTACCTGAAAATATCTGGATTGCACACATGCTCTGGATCCAGTGCTTCTCCCTGCATGAACTCGTAGCACAGGCCATTATTGAAAGTACAGTACAGCTGGGGGGCACAGCCATGGGCCTGCAACACACGGAAACTCTTCACTTCCTCATCTCGATCCACCAAGAGCTCGGTCTTATTTCCATAGATCCGAACTAGAACGACATCATCTGTTATGTCACCAACGTAGCAGCCAATTAATTTATTGGTGATTCCATCAGTGAACAGCTGAAAAGTAAAAATAATGCATAAGCAATTTAGATCTGCGTTTTCAACGTGCAGGGGGAGAATGCTGGGTTGCCCTTTAGTTCCCCAAACACAGATGTTTACTAGATCGAGCACTAACAAGAGAAATCTTTAAGACAGAGGAATATTGTGAAAATTGTAGGGATTTTTATCAGTAATACACAGAAACAGAAGAGGACAATCTGAAAACATGCTACAGTGAACTACAGAAATGCTACATGTAAACGGCAATGTTGTAAAATGAGTTTCCACATAACCACTCTAAAGGACCATGTCCAGAGAAGGGCAAGGAAGCTGAGGAAGGGTCTAGAGCACCAATCCCACAAGAAGCACCCGAGGGAGTTGTTCAGTCTAGAGAAAAGGAGGCTCAGGGGGGACCTTATTACTCTCTACAACTACCTGGAAGGAGGTTGTAGTGAGATGGGAATTGGCCTCTTATCCCAGGTAACAAGCAGTAAGACAAGAAGAAATGGCCTCAAGTTGCACCAGGGGAGGTTTAGATTGGATATATTAGGAAAAATTTCTTCTCCAAAAGGGTTCTCGAGCATTGAAATAGGCTGCCTGGGGAAGTGGTGGAATCACCATCCCTGGAAGTGTTCAGAAGGCCTGTGGATGTGGCACCTGGGGACATGGTTTAGTGTTGGATTTCACAGTGCTGGGTTATTTGTTGGTCTTAGAGGTCTTTTCCAACATGAATGATGCTATGAAACTGATGGTTTAACACAGCTGAAATCAAAGCCCAACAAAGCACCAAGCCTAAACCAGTATTAAAACAGCCATCAATACAGGTAGCACAAAAACAAGACAAATTTGATGCACTTCAGAATTTCAGTATCTGTCAATCAATGCACAACTAGTAAAAAAGATACTTCTGGAGTTCTCAACTAGTCCTTTTAAGAAACAAAATTCAGGTAAGAAACAGTTCAAGTTCAGTGTTTCTCATCTTCCCACCAGCCTTCAGGTTTTACTGATTGCAAACAATTCCTGAAGTCACTTTGGCTCCACTACAATTTTGAGACTGTACTTGAAATTCAAGACCTTAGCCTTAAACACCATTCCAAATTTAAAAGCTGCTGACAAGACCCACTATCTTCCCATTTTACTTCATAACTGGTATGAACCATTTAAAAGGTTTAAAGAGCATTTTAAGTCCTTAGCATTGGGATGTACATAAATGCAATTTAATGTCCTGCACTTTACTAGACTTTGACCAGTCTTGTCAGATGCCTGAACACACTGAAGACAAAGCAAGTGACTTGCTACAAAAATAAGAGCAATATTTGAGCACTATGTTTACATCTAATGACAACCTACTCGCTGCCTTTCAAATAATGATGGAGGTATGGAAACTTCACATTCCCAGATAGGGAAAGGAGGGGGTGGACAAAAAAATAATCTCCCACTCTTTAACTGCCACTTCTTTCACATTTGATGATAACACCTAAAATAGTCATTAGACAGGCTGAACTCCTGCAGAGGCTGCCTGGCAATCAGACTAGATCCTGAGCTACTGACTGGGCTCCTTGTACCCCATTGCATGTAGTCAGGCATTTGACATCACTCAATGCCTGCAAGGGTAACACAGCAGTTCTTCATCTCCTCCCACAATCTGGGACAGTAGAAAACAGATATTGGCTACTTTTAAACTCTTTGCACTCTGTCAACTCGGCCTGAATGCCTAAGGACTTGCTAGATGAGCACTAACCATATTATCTTCAGCTGTTAAGTGACTGAATGACAATTAATATTCTCACAACACCAGAAGCAAGAACACCAATGCTTTCATACCTTCTCAAACTCACATGCAGTCTTCAGTAGTAAAGAATTTTAAGTCAAGGTTCTCACAGCAACTGTAATTTATACTGAAGTCATATCTCTTCTACTCTGTTGCCCTCAAAACCCTAATTAAAACTTAATTCAGAAAGAATAAACTCTCCCACAAAACATAAAACAGTCATTCAGGACCATACAGTAAAACGTGCACAGCAAGAATTAGCTTCAACTTGGTTAAAACACACAGCTAGACAGAAACATTTTCCCTTTGTCCTGCAAGTTTTAACATCTTTCTTTAGGGAGTGCTTTCATCATTAATTCTCACTTAGTTGTCACTTCTGGTGTATGCCAAGAGACAACTATTAGAACGTTTTCAAACTATGCAGGTCCATGAAGCTACAAGCAGCTTTTATTTTAAGGTAACAGCAACACCATGTTTGTTTGTTTGTTTTTTTAATTCTTAATTGTAATTAAAAAAATGAAATCTATTAATCAGCATTGGAATACTAAGTATTCGATGACAACATGTTGAATTCCTTATTTCCTGACGTCCATCGAGGTATCCTCCAACATGGCTTCTCCCTCAAGCCCTAAGTGAGGCCCAGAACAAAAACACAGACAAATGCAGTGATCTGTTGCATTTCAGATCTGATATTGAACCCTAATAGTTAATAAAAAAATATTTTTACTAAAAACACACGTCAACAACAAGCAACTTCTGTACAGACATCACCATCCCTTAGAACCTTGGACAGTTGGGGTGCTGACTTTTTTTATTATGAATTTTGGGAGGTTTTTAGTTTAGTTTTTATGTTTGGTTTTGCTTTTTTTTTTTTTTTTTAAAGCAAAACTCAGTTCAGAAACTTTGGTTCTTTCTTCTCTCCTCTTCAAGAGATAGCCTTTACTTTGAAAAGTAAAGTAGTACCACTCAAACACAAGTGACAGCTTATTTCCAAATCTCAGGGGTTTAGGGAAATCAAGCATAAGGAACAATTGTTTTTGAATTACTAAAGAAACAAATTCTGAACCTGGGTGAGATCTCCCTATTTAGGAAAGACAAGACTTTTACAATAGAAATGCTGTGGTTCAGCTATTACACCTTGTTTTCCTCAACACTCCTATGTGATGAGGTGAACAGATTCACCAATAAATGCAGAAAAGGACTGGGCAAGCTTTAGTTGCCATCACAAATAAGAAATAGCTCACATTCCTGAGGAAAGATGCAGAATATCAGAAGATAGAAAGGTACTCCATTTTCTTGAACAGTTACATACACTCAATCTTGCAGAAGTAGCTTCAGCAAATTACAGAACTTTCATCCAGACACAGAAACCACAAATTCAAATAAACCTGCTTACAAAGCCTCCTTGACTGACTCTAAAATTAAGACTTCACAATTTATGGGCACATTTTATGATTATTATTTTAATAACTCAGGAGACAAGAAATGAAACATCTTAAAGTCTTCACAGCAACTAAATGTTACAATGTTCATCAAGAAAACTGTTCCATTTAGCACCACAGATCCCCAGTCTGAGCAGTGCTACCTAATCCGAACAAGCAATACTTAAATATAGTTTTTACAAGTATGACTTGTAAGAAAAATTGCTCTATGAAAAAAGACATGGACTTAAAGACATCAGAAATACCAATACTACCAAAAAATCCCCAACAGATGTTAGTAGTGCTGACGTAAAGGTACAGAAAGAATTTGAGTTATGATGTTGAACAGAAATTTGCTGGGCACTGCACAGCTTCTTTCACAGGTCTATTATCCCCTTAAAACAAGTCTCATTAGTGCTAATAAGAAGAAATCTGCAACAAGGAAATTGGACTCCCTCAACTGATAATTTAGGAACTCTACTTATTAGCATCTATTCGTAACATGCTGCTACAACTAATTATTTATAGCCAGGAGGATTTTAGTTATTCCTTCTTAAAAAAGCAGAAGGGTTTGCTTACTTTTCTAATAACATTCAGAGCAGATGATTTCCATGTTCCACCATAAAAAAATCCAGTGTTTTCTACCAGTAAAACAACATAATAGTCTCTTTATTCTTTTATTCAGAATGCCTTTACTGTAGCATTTAAAGAATCAGCTAAGAGGGCCTTGCCCAAAACACAACCTGAGATGGAGCAGAGCAAAATATTCTGTAACAAAAGCATCAGTGGAGCAGCTTAAGCACAGAATAGACTCTAAAAGCGTGGACAAGAATCAGTAAACTCTCAGGGCCGTGTGGAAGAAGATGGAACAACCTCCAGAATGTAATGTATAGCAGGTAGAAGATTCTAGGGATAAATCAATAAACACAAAGAGGCAATAGAAGTCAAGAACACAATGCAATTAAAAAAAAAATCCAGCAGCAAGATTCTGCTACTCCTGTAATCTGTAAATATTTAATTACTGTTTTGTGTACTTAACACATTGTTATACACACTTTCAGGTGAGGTGACACAGCTAAAACTAAATTCTGAAAACATTTCTGGAAATTGCATTTATACTGCCCACAATCAGAGACCTAGTTTGAATCCTTTCTGGCTTTGGGAACAAATAAACTCTTTACTGAAGTGCAAACAGAAGGTAAGAAAACTACAAACAAGCTTGAGTTACTCAAATGCAGTCTCAGAGTGCAGCACGTGGTACAAACAAGACAGGCCAGGTGAGCCAGGAAGAGAAAACTCATGACATGAAGCACCTTTGAGACAGAGTTTATCTAAAAAACTCTTATCAGGTTATTAGACTCCTGAAAAGGAATCTAATATGGATAATATATACAATATATAATAACATGATAGATTTGTTACCATCTCATGAGCAAGTGATTCATGAAAAGCTTATATCTAATCCTATCTTTCCAGGTATTTAAAAGAACGATAAGAATGAGGGCAAAATTGCAGTCACGTGTAACAAGCACAAACAGCCAGAAATAAAACTGTTATGGGGCAAAGTAGAAAAAACTTATGACTCAGAAGAGATATCAAACCAAGCAGATTTTCTCCTTCTAGAATGTGTTATTACATTCAGAGGAGGAGAATATAGGAAACGGTATTGTACTGCTGTAAAAACAGAAGAGTGAGGTGAAGTTTCAGCTTAAGTAAATAGGGATTGCCCAGATTCTGCTGCTGAAACCCAGATTGACATTAAGATCTCTAGAAAGGAACAGACTTTAACAACGTATTTCCTTAATACTCACAAAACTTCAAGTAAT